AGCTGAAGCGCGCCTTTACCATGGGCGGCAAGCCGAGACCAGACCCAGAGACGGGAAGGCAGAGGGCCGGCAGACCGACCATTGTCACGCAGGGCGACGGCAGCGGCTACGGGGCCCAGCTGAACCGCAACATGAGCGAGCTCTCCCAGCTCAAGGAGACAGCCTTTGTCCGCACCCTCCAGCGCTACCACGCCTCGGCCAACGAAGTCCGCACAGAGTACATGGAGCGCCACTCCTCCCTCATGTCGCGCGGCCTCGCCGTCTCCGCCGAGCAGGTCGCCATATTCCTGACCTCGGACAACACAGTCATCTCCTTCTTCGAGATGTCGGCCGAGGACATTGAGCGCCCCATCACCATCCGCCTTGGCGATCCCTCCACCATCCTCCGCCAATCCTGCGACGCTTCTCTCGTCGTCCAGGCTATCATCGACGCCATCATCGACCTCGCCATCCCCCTCACCGCCGTCTACAGCGACGTCATCGGCGACCTCGAGCTCGACGTTCTCACGAGCCCGAGCATCAAGCAGACCCGCAGCCTCTACATCTGCGTCAGCGAGATTAACAAGATGCTCACTTTTCTCAACCCCATCGATAACCTCGTCAACGTCCTGCGCGATCACCGCACCGAGCTGTCACAGGACGAGGCGGCGCGCCAGCTACGCAATCCAGCTAGCGGCGTCATCGTCACGCCGCTCACGCACACGTACCTCGGCGACGTGCTCGATCACTGTGTCATAATCACCGAGTCCATGCAGCAGATCAAGCGGTCCGCCGATAACCTGATTGATCTCATCTTCAACACCATCTCGGCGAACCAGAACGAGAGCATGAAGCAGTTGACCATCATTACCATTATATTCCTGCCCCTGACCTTCTTGACTGGGTACTTTGGACAAAACTTTGAAAAGTTTCCGGATATCCAGAACCCCATGGGCATTCAATTCTTGTACGTTGAGACCACCCCTTTCGCTCCGCAGCTATTGTACTGACCAAGAAAACAGCTGGGTCATTGCCTGCCCTGTAGTCTTTTGCACAATCATCATCATGATGCGCTCCTGGATCTGGGCGTGGCTCGAGTCGTTTTGGCAAAAAAGGAAAATCAGCGCCGAGAGGAAGAAGCAGAATAAGAAGAGGGCGCGAAGGGCAAAGAGGAGGGCCAAAAGGGATTAGGAACCCCGCCCCGGCCACCGCTTTCCTTCGAGTTCGAGGCCTTGGTCGTGACTGTTGGTCTCCTGTCATGCTTGTGTATTGTGATACCCCCTACTTTCTATTTTAGACCCCATTTAGATCTTTCCGCATACCACTGCCCAACAATAGAGCTTCAATTGAGCGGGCTTTTGAGCGTCGCTACGATAATTCGAGATTTCTCCACACGTGAGAAGCGAAAGCGGGCGGGAATTTGGGAGAGCGGTTCGCTTTGGTTTCTTTCTTGGGCTCATATGAGACCAACAGGTAGGCAATGGGGTAAGAGGCATCTCTATTCAACCCTACAAATCTAACCAACTTCGAGTCGTGTATCCCACTTTCATCCGATCATACCAGCATCCCCCCTTCATGCAACAGGTCCACCAGCCTCAGGAAGACCGCACTACATCATCACACTGTATCAGCAAACTCATTCCTCACAACTAACGAAAAGAAGCACACCATGAAATCCAAGGGGCGATAAGAGGGTGGAAAAAAAACTCACGTAATAAACAACCAAGCTCCCACCATCAAAGATCGTCTCCAGCGAAACCGTCTCGCCCTCCTTGGGCGCAACAGTCACATCGCTCCTCGTGTTCCACGCAATCTGCGCCACGGAAGCAGGCTGCCCGACACCGGGCGTCACGGTCGCGTTCGCCCACACGCCCGGGTCGCCCGCCGTCGCGGCGGCGAAGACCTCGACGCCGACCTGTTGGGGCGGGTACGGGCTGCCGTAGCCGACGGCGCCGGCGACCTTGATGACGAGGGAGCCGGAGAAGGGGGAGGCGATGGAGAAGTCTGTGATGTTGGCCGAGGGGGAGGAGCTGCTTTGGGCGCCGTCGAGCACGACTTCTAGGGGGGTTGCGGCGTCGCAGCCTGTTGTAGGGGGGGTGGATTAGTCAGTGGTGTGGTTGGGTGGGATGGGTTGGGGTTGAGGTCATCCCAAGTTTCACCCGCGATCTATCCTTTCGTCTACGGCCGAGCGGGCCGGGAGGTTGGGGTTCGGATGGAAGTATGGGGGGGGGGATGTGTTGTCACGCACGGGAGTAGTCTGCGCGAACGCCCCATGAGCCCTGCGCCACGGCAGCGTGGGCACCGCCGGCGGCGAGCAGAGAGGTCAGAAGAATAGAGGCGTACATGTTTGTCGTGAGAATATCGTGAATATGTATGTCCGTTGGTAAGTCAGGTTTTCCTCGAGTCCACTTGGATACAACAACGGGAATCAATCTCTCTTTTGTACCCGCCCACTCGGGAGTTCATCCCGTCGTTTCGGTACCTTCGGGGGGTGACGATCATGGGTTTAAAAAAAGACCGAAAGCCCTACGATGCTCTGCCAAGCAAACTGATCTAAAGAGGTTTTATTAAGTATGAACTCTATATGCAGATGCCGGTGGACGTTGAGTGGGACCTGAGGAATTGGTCATTCGTCGTTTTGGCGTTGTCCATCCCCCCTCGTATGCAATTTATATTAAGTTGGTCTGCTCACGGCAAACGAGTCAGTGGGTATAAGTGTTGGTCACACCCGACAAAGGGAGGAGAAAAGGAGGAAAGTATCGCTCCTCTTTTCTACTATCAATTCAAAAGGAGAAATAAGTTCGCGACGTGATTACTGAAGTTGAATTGTCAATACTTTTTAGTGTGTGCTTGGTCAAATTTGGTTGTGTCTGTTGGCGGCGGCTCTTGGAGAAGTGCTGTTCGGCTTCCCACTCTTGGGTTCTATGAAAGTTATAACTCCATAAGCCTAATTTTGAACTTTGTCTCTTGAGAGCGAACGGTTCATCTGATTGAAGGCGCTGTAAACTGGATTGAGATTCGATTTGTCTGGCTAGGCAATTGTCTGGGTTAAACCTGGACCCTTGGGTTCTCATGGACTAAATTTCTGTGCAACATATCTACATGTGGACAAAGTGGTTATTTTCTTGTCTTTCTAGCACTCTAGGGGTTCGTGTACGAAAGACAAGGCGAGGAATTCTCAACCATTTGACCTCATATGCCTGCCCCTCGGTCCTTCATAGCCGACCCGGCTATTCTGAAGTATTATAGATGTGTTGAGATCACTAAATGTCCCAAACCAAGCTTCGATCTGAGCCTTCAAAACGGGGTTAACCGGCGGCGAGGTGGTCTTGTTGAAGTTACCGCCCCATAACGACGATTGGCATCTACTTTTCCGATCAATGAATCTGTCGAATCTAATCGCATTGGCAAAACGGAGCTCTTCTGTACTCAATCTTCGTTACAAGAAGTGTAAACTTGAACTCGCAGAGGCGGACGATGTAATGCAAGTAAAGCAGGTACACCAGCTTCCATGCCGACCATATTCGAGGAGTCGAGTGAGATTGTAGAATCTGGCAGCCTTCTAGTTGCTAATTTCATCGCTTCCCACTATCATCCTCCTTCCCCCCATCTGCGACCGAATTCCGGCCAGTATCCTGCCGCTGGTGATGATCACACTGCTGACTCCCAGCGTTCACCTCCCAACTCAAAGCGCTAAACTTCCATTTGCCCCAACCAAGCTGCAGGTCAAAGCTACTATGGAAGCCTCGAATCTGTCGCTCTGGTGGTTCATCTTTAGGATTCTTGACGATTTCCCAATACTCCTCGCTCCCCTCCCTTTCGTCGCATCGACTTTGCGTTGGAGGATTGGGGCTGGATCTCTCCTTGACGGACGGCTTTTCCTCTGATGTCAACAGTCAGTCGAAATGAATCTCTGAATACGATGGAGTAAGAGTGACTTGAGGAAAACATGCCTCGGGTGCTGCGATAAGTGCCTCCCTGCTGTGCCATTTTGATGGTTCTGGCCTTTGCCTTTTGGAGAGAAGTGAAGATAGAGGATGACGAACCCTAGCATGGGCAAACTTCAGCCCCTCTTCTATGGTCTTGGAACTTTGGTGGCGAAGCACCTCAGCTCAGCCTAGACTTTGCTAGCTGAGCGATCGACAACCAAAGGGTCTATGATTGGTTGATGATCATTCGTCAATGAGCATGTCCAGCGCCTCGTCAACTCGTATAGATTTATCCTGATCGGCATCATGTGGGTGAAGACACACCTATTGCTGGGGTTTTATTGACTAACTCTAGCTGTGTATGGAAATGTAAGTATGGTGGTATCTCTACAGGGTTTTCCCGTTATGGAAGAAGATTGAGGTAAAACCCATCCTTATCTGACGAAGGCTCCAGACAGTCGCTCTGGGTATCCCGAGCAGAAGTTGCAGTCTGCAAAACAACTCGTCTGCCTCCCGCTGAGTCTCGACAACACGTCCCCATTGCGTGTTCAAACTGTACTCTCTTTCTCGAGGGTGTACTCAGCCCGCCTAGGTAGCCCTTCATTGCATCCCTGTGTCATGAAGTCGCATGACAATGTGACAAGAGCAGCTTGTCACATAACAACCTCATACATCTCCGGAGCTATCGTAGATAGGCGATATACCGGGAGTTTCGCCGAGGTGGGAAATACACCTCTTATTGAATAATCATCCTCAAACCCTTCATGGGTTCATTCATCCCAGCCCTTCTGGCTTATGACTCCATCACTACTTCTTGAGCCTCCTGATACAGGATCCTTCTGTAACACGACATTATTTTTAGGCGTCTTCGGCGGGTCCCTCTCCATCGGGCTCGCATCGCTGAGGTTATTGAGGTCGATATCGTTGAAGTCTCCGACTAGATGCGCTATCGAGGACTCCTCGTAGGACACGAGTCGCGGTCGTTCATTGGGGTCCGCTGCCGATCGTGAGGCTTGGCTGGCAGAGTGTGAACCCTTTGCTGATCTAGACATTCTAGCTGATCTCGAAGACAGGTGTGTTACTTCGAGGATCTTAGGGAATAGTTTCCTCCAGACTTGACGTGTGCTCGGAAGGCAAGACACGAAGATACCAACACATAGCTCGATGTTGGACCAGAGAGAGCTCTGGAATGAGTCGGCTGCGGTTGCTGTCAGTACTGTGCATAGCTGACGGTGAGTCCCTTGTTTCGGACTTGCCTGTGACGTTGTATGATGTCGCAAAGATGAGAAGGGCCTTGATTCGATAGGCACTAACGGCAGTGAGACTTTGAACTATCAGTCAGCAACATTCTCGCATGTCAGCTTCGTGGTACTCACAAAACTCCTACGCCGAACATCAACATCACGCCCAGCTTCTGTTTGCGCTGCATCCTCAGCGAATAGACTTGAGTTGCTGGAAGTACTAGCATCCATGCATCCAGAGCCACGTTCAATGCGCCATGGCACATGGCAAAGGCGTTCAAGTTGAAGCATTTGCCCTCCATATCTCTTTTCCATCCATGCCAGAAGAAGTGCAAGGGCTGACAAGAGCCGAAAGTACCGGCGATGAAAGCGATCCAAAGAAGAAGGTTGAACAGCTGAGTACACCAAAGTATTCGGCGGAAGGTTTCGTCGGGGAAGATTCGCAGGTATAGAAATAAGATCGAGGCCTTGATAAAGGCTAGGCAGGTCATATAGAGCATACCGAATATGATAAATAGCTGGCACAGTCAGTTTTGCTCCATGAGGTAATCAAGCAAAGATGCATTGATGATGCGGCCTTACCAAAAGAAAATCAGTAATTTGGTTTTCTGACAGTGCCCATATATCTCTCCCTGCACCAGTTTGTTCGGCTACGAAGACGTTAGAGGATACATTTCATTAGTCGGAATCTGAGCTTTACCTAGATATGCTGCTGGCAGGAAAGCTGCTAGTACGGCCTTTGCGATTGTCAGGGAAACTTGTCGAGGGCATGAGAGAGGGTGGATTTCTGCATAACATACATAGGCTATGACGATGGTTGTGTCGTCCCAACCCCAAGGCGACAGCTTTAGAAACTTGTTGACCATTCGCACGATTATGAAAAAGGTTGGTAGGGCGAAAAGAACCGCCCTGAACCACGCCATGACGGTATCCTGCTGAGCAGGGGCAACACCACAGGCAGCCAATGACGAATTGCGTGCCGCTGTAGATATTCGATGAGCCTTAACATCTTCACTAAGGGAACCTGACTCCGTAACCTACCGAGCATCTCCATGACAGTGCAATTTGCCTCGACGCATACCTGCACGTATCCCGCCAAAACGTTATCGTTACACATGCATTTTTGATCCGTTAAGGGGCAGGACGAATGGCCGATCTCCTGGAAGATACATTTGATCTGCATCTGTCAGCACATTCCATCGATAAGGGATGTCAGTGGGAAATAAGCTTACAGCACAGCTGGGGATGCCCTGATACGAGATATCTGACGCGGCGACGAAACTTGCAAGGCCCAGAAAGCAAGCGAGCAGGAAGAAGAGACGGGTAGCAGACATCGTGAAAGGAGCGACTTAGGATGGACGATGATGATGTCCTGCAAGCCTCTCAAACCCAAGCAGGGTCGTCCGCGAATTGACGTCGGAATCTGAAGCCGGAGAGGTTGATCAGGTACTCAAAACTTTGACGAAGGGTCCAAGAAAGTGGTCTTGGCCATGTTGTTGACCAACGTGGGGATATGAGGAGAGAGAAAGGTGGCATGGACGAACCGTAGTGAAGACGTCTTACCATGGGAAGTTCGCCCTACGGCTGTCATTCCGCCTTTCTAGCAAAGACACTAAACTAGTTCTTAGCTAGGCAGTTCCCAAGGGATCCCACGTCGAGGAAGTGGCTAACCTCCTCTTGGGACATCAGAGCGTTGCACCAGCTCGCTGCAGTCGGGAGGCACGGCAGGCAATGAAGGTCTTCCCGGCAGTGGTACGCGGGACGCTGGACCTCGCGTTTTCGGGAGGTGTGTCGACAGTGTCTCGACTAGTTCACTCGGTAAATGCGCGTCAGTTCATATTGGTTTGTCCCTTTTACTAGCAGATGCCAGAGAGGGCGCCACGGCTGAGACCATCGTGAGCCTGGCAAGGATATCACAGCTCGAGATTGGTTGGTCGTGCTCAATGGATGCCGCTAGGGGAAGCCAAGGCTGCTTCCTAGGGCATAGAGCTCGGACGCTCTGGATGGGAGATCGGCGTGGCTAGCATGCAGCCAAAGGTGAGCTAGGCCTTGGCTGTGTGCAGGTCCTCAGGGGCACCTTGACGTTTGCGTCAAGCTGGGAATGTCTGCTCACTTGAGGAATGCCGTTCGCGGTCTCGATCTAACTTGGCATGTGAATCAAGATGCATTAGGGACTTGATGTTGGTGGGATCAATGTTGTCAGACTGGCAGTACTTCGGCGGTTCATTGGATGGCTCGGACGACAATCGCAGTATTGGGCATGACTTTGGATCTCAAAATCCCACGATGTCACACGAGCTGATCCCGCGATGTGATATCTTGTGGTCCGTGTACGACCATGGTCCGGTGTGAAATGTGCAGCATACCAATAGAGAATTAAATGTCTTACTGCATGAGCTAAAATTCCCAGGTTTCCGGGACAGTATGATCGTTCCGTTCCACATTCCTGTACAACCTGACCAAGACCTCAGGAAGCGTTGGAAATGCAACTTACTCTTCATGTTGCCGTTACCCAGTCTTGCCGGTGCCTTTTGGCAACGAGAAGGCATGCAAATAAATCGATCCAAAGTCAATGAACACATGGCGTGGCTTATCTAGACAATTAGACCAGCCATTGACTTTCCGTTTCTGGTTCAGCATCCGAGAAAACACTTAAGCGAGGAAGCCACGCAGCTCCAGATTCCCGGGTTTTCCTGAGCAAGCCAAAATCATCATCCCTCCTTAGCCGGCGAACTAGAATCCCCACAAGGCCACAGGATCATCAAAGGGCTTTTCGCGGGCTAACACTTCGCTTTCACGCATCATTGATACTACAGCGTCCAGGCTCGCTTCCTTTGTTCCACCGACGTAACAAGCGTCAACGTCGCTTAGAAATCGAGCCCTAAAGAGGCGAATAATTCAAGCGGAAAGTCCCCTCCGAAGTGCAACTCCGACTGTTACCAAACCCTTGACCGTTTTCTTCTGTAGTTGAGTGGAGTTTCTGTATGGATTTACCACGCGAACTTTTTACATCCATTCGGGGCAAGGTCCGAGAAGCCAGCAGTGAGGTGACTACTAACTCGGAGAGGCAAGCTCGAGGTGTCGAAAACCTTTCATAAATATGTGGAGCCGCCTATCTATTTTTGATTGTTATGAGAATTGGAAATGGCCTGGACAAGGAATGTAACCCAGCCTAGTGATATTAGTTGACTTGTCTGCTCCCGTCCACGGTCCGGCCATTGAACGGGCCTGTGTCTGACCCGAAAGTGGGTCCATCGGGCCCGATGTCTCGGGTGACTGCGAGTCGGATGAAGCGAGCCGCCGGTTGTGATATCTACAACGGCTGCCATATATCAGCCTGAATGGACTGAACGGGAATTTATTCGAGCTGAATTTGGTCTAAACCTCTCAAGTACACAAACTTAGATCTAACATCGAGTCACGATCTTCGGAACCATGGGAGTAGACTAAGACGATGCAAGTTGTGAGCAACCCAGATTGCACGGCAGCCTCGGTGAAGTCTGAGGCATGGAATCCATGATTGAATAAGCGGCTTCTTTTCTTTTCCTTTTTGTGATTCATCGCATGTTCATCTTCAGTCCATCCGCTTGGGCCTTGTCAGAGCTGCTCTTCCGGCACCCAGCAGCTGAACTCATTCTGACCGAACGAGGCAGACCGCTACACCAAGCCAATACTGTTCTGTTCAACTCTCAAGATCATCCATGATGACATCGAATGCTTCGAACTCGGGCTCGGCATGTTTCTCGGCCAATGTGGGAGCCGAAACGGTACACTTGTTTTCTGCTGTGGCCGGGAAACCCTCACAGAGATGGGTTTATCTCCTCGGTGGCCGCGCACTGCGAGGTGGTCACGACAACCGCCCGGCTCCCTCAGATTGCAGCAAACTTACCACCTGTTTGACCTGATGACACTGAGATCGGCGGGGTTACTGGGAGAATCGTCCGGACTGGCACAAGACGCGCCCCAATGAATATTGGATGCTGTCGACCTGACAACAGAAGACTCAACAATCCTGCCTATAGACTACTATATAAGGTTCTGAGAGGAAGCTGTAGACAGAAGAGATTCGTCTCTATTGGTCTTGCATGAACAAATTTAACGAACGATGTCAGAAGCACTGTTTACCGATTACGAAGGCCGGACCTTCAGTCGCTCCATCTTATTTCTGGCCATCTACGCCTACGTTTCTCTGGGCCTACTGATGCTCGTCGCACAGAGGCTTGCCCGGCCAGGGAGGTTCACAAAGATACCCTCTCGTCAGCCAGTAAGGTCGACCAGGTCTGGCAGAGGACTAGGCGAAAATGCCCTTCTTCCATCCAAAGCTTCACCTTCGCAACAAAGAGTTCCGTGTAAGTCGTTAACGCTGTCGCTGTCGCTATGAGGCTATCGACCTGTCGACTAGGCTGACTTCCGTGATGTCACACACAGTCGGTAAACAGCTCTAGAGTGACTTCAGACATAGCTGTTCTACTCAATTCTGGAGACGCCGGACTGGAAAGTCACCAGCACCCCGATCCATACAACGCTACGAGGCGAGCGTCACCGGGAAGAACATTCGATGCATCATCGTTCATCTTTGCTCTGGCGTCTTCATGAGAGAAGATTCTTGTTTGAAGCCTGAAGGACTCTCCATTATCGCAGCGAATGCATCACTGCCGACAGCTCTGACAACACGACGTTGATAGACAGGATGTTGACCACACCGTGCCGACCCCACACATGCAGCATCAATGCAGAAAATCGAAAAGAATCGACCTCCGAAAGCAGCCGATTGGCCTCAAGTGATCTCTAAGAGCCAGAGATATCATGCTGCAGCGCATCATGGCTGACAGACATGATCCTGAAGACCCTTTTTGGCAGGCATCTGGACTCAGAGGCAAGTCGGCCGATCAGAATCAAGACACTAACGTTGAACACAACCGAAGCCACTTCCCCGTAGATTTCTCCGCTGCTGGAGAGGTTGAGATTTCACTATACCACTCTCTGCTCGAAGTTGAGTATAAGGCGATGAAGCAGGCTGAATGAAGGACGCAGGCTACGGGTCACAGGCGTTTACTTTGTTCTGGTGTCTCATACAACGGGAAAAACCCTCATGGGAGGAGGCAGAAAAACGATGATGTCTACAAGAACAGTCCAGATTGGGTGCGATGTCGTCGTGAATCTTTACTTTGCTTGAGTCTATGCTTGAGTCTCGGTCGGATCGTTGTGACCAAGACAGAAAAGTCGAAATTCTCCAACTCCAAGTCAGCTCAGCACCGTTAAACTTTGAGGCAGTTGAGGCTTGCAAAAGTTTGAAACGAACAACAGCAACAACAATGGTAAACAAGCAAGGATACCGACAAAGCAAGGCAATGAACACTTTCAAACATGTCAACATGCAAAAATGACAAAAGAGAATATTCCCAGGTGGATTTTAACCACTGCTTCTCCCCGAGGTGGGCTCGAACCACCAACCTCCAGATTAACAGTCTGACGCGCTAGCCAATTGTGCCATCGGGGATTAGCTCGAACTGAGCTGTTGGGCTGTTGTTGCAGGGAGCGGCGAGTTGAGTGCCTAACTTGGTCTTCTAGAAGGCGAGCCAGTTGTGCGTTGTTTCAAGCCCTAGAGGGCGGGTCTGAAATGCGCGGATCTTCGAGGAATCGGTGTCATGGTGCGAAGGGGCCGGGAATGGTGATTGGTGGTGACTCAATTTGTTGACCCACGTGGTGGGTGAGATTCACGCAGGTGCATGGTGGCTCGAACGGGCTCGGTTTGGGGAACGAATCCGACTTTGTGTTCTAAGAGCATGGTCGGATTGTCAAAGAGATGTATTCGGAAAGAGTATGAGTAAATACGGCCACAATATTTGGTATTTTTCCAACTCTCGGGGATCGAATTGCTGAGGGGCATAGAATGAACAAACGATGTGTGGTTCCCCAAACTTTCATCTTGTCTTATTGTAAGTTGCAGTGTGGACAGCTGATGCTGGCTCTTCATTGGGGGAAGTTTATTGATTTACTTTACAGGGTGTCATGTCTCACGGTGAGCTTCATGAGAATCATGAAAAACACATTATTGCTATATGTAATAGATAGACTCTTAGAGTACAGAAATGTCCTTAGGAAGTAAGTTTATAACTGCTAAGACCTCAATGGTCTTGCGACAATCCGTCTTGTCAATTAAAGGCAAAAACGCTTGTGAGCTTCAGGCGCACTTGAGGCATGCAAGCCACACCAAAACGCCCGTCTCAAGATCACCACCATACCAAGAGGCAGTCCCCATGGTATAAAATCCAAAACCACACACTCAATCCCCACATCTTACGAGTAGTCACTTCACTGTAAAGGCTGCGAG